TATGTATATGACTAGTAATTTTTCCTTTGCTGTTTTCAATGTTTTTTGTTTCTCTTCATATTTCAATAGTTTTATTTATTTATTTTTATTTTTATTTTTTTAAGAAATATGTTTCTTTTTTTAAGAGAGAGAGAGAGAGAGAATTTTTTTAATATTTATTTTTTTTTTAGTTTTCGGCAGACACAACATCTTTGTATGTGGTGCTGAGGATTGAACCCGGGCCGCACGCATGCCAGGCGAGCGCGCTACGGCTTGAGCCACATCCCCAGCCCAATAGTTTTATTATGATGTGTTGAATGTGACTTTAAAAAAATCCTGAGTTCATTGGTTTCTTGGATATGCACATAAATATTTTTTCATCAAGTTTCATAAATTTTATCATTATTTCTTCTTATATTTTCTCTACCTTTTTCCATCATTTCTGTCCTCTGTCTTCCCATTGCTCTTGTTGGTGAACTTAAGAGTGTCCAACAACTGTTTGTGGGTTGGTTCATATGTCTTAATGGTTTTTTTTGTTCTTTTAAATTTCATAATCTCCATCAGCCTTTTCAAGTTTTCCAATACTTTCTTCTTCCAATTTATATCTACTATTGAACTACTTTAGTTAGGATTTTCATTTGTTTTTGTTTTTGTTTTCAGTTGTAGAATTTCTGTTTGACTCTTATTTTAATATTTGTTTTTAATGATAGTCTGTATCCGAAAAAGGCTTTGTCACCACAACTTAAAGCTTCATTTTCTTAAAACATAATATCTGCTTTGCAGTCTTTGTTAAGTTTGTCATCTGGATTCTTTCATAGGCAGTTTTGGTTGCCTAGTCTTGTCTATATTTACATTTTTTGTTTCTTTGCCTGTCTCATAACTTTTGGTTGAAAACTGAACATTTTAGATTATAAATTAAACAAACCAGTATACTGCACCTCCACCCAGGATTTTTGTTGCTCATTTATTTATTAATTTAATGATTTGGCTCATTTATTTTAGTGAAATGTATATTTCCCGAACTGTGCAGCTTCTGAGAGTGCTCACTAGAGGGTTCATGTTTGGCCATGTGCATTTACTCCAGGGATTAGCAGGGCCTTCTTTGTCTTTTTTTTTTCCCTGATTTCTCTGTTAAATTCTCTGTACTCCTCTGTTACCATACCCAGAGTAAGCCTCCACTAATTGCCACTCTATTGCACAATTGTTTCTGACATTGTTGTGGGACATAAATTGCTCTATAGTTTGGTACATTCTAAATTGGGCCCCATTACTAAGTAACTTTGAAGCCAGTCTTTGCAGTTTGTTCTGACCCTGGAAGTGCTCTTCTTAGCTATCTCTTTACCTGATTCTTTTTGGTAAACTTCAAACTAGTCAACTGTTTCCTTTCTCTTCTAATAGAGCCACCAGCCTCCTCTTAATTGCACAATTTCATTGTTTTAATATTGCTCTTAGGCTTGAACTTCCCCTGATACTCTGTTCCATAAAATCAGTTCTCTTTGTAAGGTCAGAGTGGCTCCAGATATGCTGTATTCATTCCTGAGTAGAACCCTTGTGCCACTTGTGTAGAGCAGGGGGAGGGTCAGTGGCATAGTTCTCTCAGTAACACCTTTCTTTCATAAGCAAAGTGCTGAACTGTGACAATTCCACATGACTCTCCACCCCACAAGTGAGTTGTGGTAAGAGCAATCAAAGTTTCTGAATTCTTTTTTTTTTTCTTTTAAATTTATTTATTTATTTATTTGCATTACAATTATTAATACACCATTATACAATAATTTATCATATCTCTGATTATATATAAGGTATGTTGACACCAAATTCACATCTTCATACATGTATTTTGTATAATGATGAGGGTCTCCTTTCACCGTGCATGCTATTCCCCTTCTCCCTCCCTTTCCCTCCCACCCCTATTCCCTATCTAGAGGTAATCTTCCTCCCTTGCTCTCCCTCCCAACCCCATTTTGAGTCACCACCCCTTATATCAGAGAAGACATTCAGCATTTGTTTTTTTGGGATTGACTAAGTTCACTTAGCATAATTTTCTCTAATGCCATCCATTTCCCTGCAAATGCCATGATCTTATTCTTTTTTATTGCTAATATTCCATTGTGTATATATGCCACATTTTTTTTTGTGCATTCATCCATTGAAGGACATCTAGGTTGGCTCCACAGTTTAGCTATTGTGAATTGTGCTGCTTTAAACATTGATGTGGCTGTGTCCCTGTAATATGCTGTTTTTAGGTCCTTTGGGTATATTTGGAGAAGAGGAATAGGTGGGTCAAATGGTGGTTCCATTCCCAGTTTTCCAAGGAATTTCCATACTGCTTTCAAATTGGCTGCACCAATTTGCAGTCCCACCAGCAGTGTATGAGTGTACCTTTTTCCCCACATCCTCACCAGCACTTGTTTTTGTTTGTCTTCATAATGGCTGCCACTCTTAGTGGAGTGAGATGATATCTTAGAGTAGTTTTAATTTGCATTTCTCTGATTGCTAGAGATGATGAGCATTTTTTTGTATATTTGTTGATTGATTCTATATCCTCTTCTGAGAAGTGTCTGCTCAGGTCCTTGGCCCATTTATTGATTGGATTATTTGTTTTTGTGGTGCTTATCTTGTTGAGCTCTTTATATACCCTAGAGATTAGAGCTCTATCTGATGTGTGAGGGGTAAAAATTTATTCCCAGGATATAGGCTCCCTATTCACCTCACATATTATTTCTTTTGCTGAGAAAAAACTTTTTAGTTTGAATCCATCCCATGTGTTGATTCTTGATTTTAATTCTTGTGCTATAGGTATCTTATTAAGGAAGTTGGTGCCTAGCCCCATGTGATGGAGATTAGGGCCTACTTTTTCTTTTATTAGATGCAGAGTCTCTGGTTTAATCCCTAGATCCTTGATCCATTTTGAGTTAACTTTTGTGCATGGTGAGAGATAGGGATTCAATTTCATTTTGTTGCATATGGATTTCCAGTTTCTGTGTTCTGTAGGTATTGCACCTAGGTTAGAGCTTTTGTCCTGAGTGGGAACTGAAGTGGGGAAAGAAAGTTTCAGACATCAGCCATTCTTGCCTGGGATAATACCTCTGAAATATGGAACTAGGGCAAAGATGTGATAAATGTGGTGCCTTTCTCTTTTAGGTGAGATACTTGAGCTTCCTGAGGGAAGAGGGATTCTGTGTTCCAGCATGTACCTATTCACAATAGAACTTCTGTTATGCTGAACTGGGATGAAAAGAAAGAAGGGAAGAATAGAGAGCAAGTTGTGGTTTAAATGGTACAGATTCTCATTGTTATGAGACTCGATATATTTTTTGAAAATATTAAGAAAATGAAAATATTAAGTTAATGGGAATAGATTTTCTTGAATAAATATTTATTCCTTTTGCAGCACTTTCTTTGGAGAATTTCCAGACATCTTTAAATTAAAAAAATAATAATTTGCACTGGTTATGGTTGTTTCATCAAGGACAGTTTCCACAGAATTATTTATATCTCCATTCCAGAACTCCTTTTCCCATTGTGATCTTTTTCAAAGCCACTTTTCTATTTAAAGTTCTGCAATGATTTCCCATCTCAATGACTTTCCTTCTGTTCTTCAAACATGCATGTGCAGTCTTGCCTCACCAAGGATACTCCTTCCCGGACTTTTGCACTAGATGTTTGCTCTAGATAGAATGTTTCCCTGAGATGCTATTGTCTCTTCTTAGCAATATTATCTCAGATTAGCCTATGTAAAAAGTAATTCACTTAATATATATTTAATGTTTTATTTCTTCATGATCTGTCTCTACTTATTAGTTTTCTTTACAAAGTACATTTTGGACACTTGCAGGATACTGGAGCTCCAGTGGCACAATCAGTTAGTACCCAGTACTTATAGGACATTTGCAGGATACTATTTTTTGCTTGAAAATCCATTATTTTCTTTCCTTTTGTCAGTTGAATGAACTGTAGATATTATCTTAAAAGTTTCTCTAGTGTTACATGTGTTTATCTGATTACATTTTTGTTACTTTTGCAAGTGAGCAGGGGTAAAGAGTACAATTTCTGCTTTACTTGCTTAAATGGTTATTATGTTTCACTTGTTTTTATGTGTTCCCTTTGTATTGAGCTGGAATACCAATGACAGTGTCCTTGAATGAGTTTATGAGATTGAATGAGTTCATGAGACCGGGCTACCCCATAAACCTATACAGTTCATGAGAGAAGTAAACTTCTGTTTTCTTTAAATCATTAAAAATTTTACTCTCTTAATACATCTTACCCTATTTTCTGGGTCACCAATGAAAGTAGTTTGAATTAAGAAATGGTGCCCACTTAAGACATATGAGAAGTAGGACTTGCTTCTCTTAGATAATTTTTGTTGTACTTCTGCTATTAAGGAATAATGGTAAATTAATTTTAAAAAGGAATAATGGTAACAATAAATTTACCTGGTTCATCATTTGAATTTACATAACTTTGCTGTTTTGTCACATTGAGTGGATGTTATTGATATTTGGTAAGCTGTTTCTATGGTATGGGTGTGGTTTAAGTTGATCCTTTCTTACAAAGACTGTTAAATAAAGATTCCTGAAAAAAATTTTGTCTAATGCTTTTTCTGCATCTATTTATATAACCTTACATTTTTTTCTCCATCAATTTGTTGATACAATGAGTTATGAAACGCACGAGCACAGTGTTCTTATACTTTGCTTACTTTCATGGATTCTTTTTTCTAATATTCAAAAATTTTGCACCTGTATTCAAAGATGAGTCATTCTGTGTGTTTCTTTCTGTTGCCTTACTTGACTAGGCACTAGTTCTAGTGAAATATTCATTGTGATGAGAGGGAATATCCCTCCTTTGTTTTTGATCTTAGAGGGTAAAACATTCAGTTTTTACCATTAAGTATGGTTTTAGTTTGTAAATTTTATTCATTGGGTAATATTTTGGACACATTGTGGTAAAGTATAGTATCAAAATTAACCTCACTTATTTATTTTTATTGTTTTTTAGGCTGTACAACAGTAAATTTAGAATTACATTGTGGTGGCTAGTACTGATCAAGAGTACTAGTATGTATAATGTAGTACAAATATAATTTTTGTGATGTAGTAAGTACTTACAGCACTTCTTTACTGGAGAAGAAAAATCCAACTTCACACTTAGTGTCTTATATTCCTATTGATAGTTTAGTTGTGTTCTTCCTGCCATTATATTTTAAAAATCATAGACTTATATAAGTACAAAATCATTTGTACATTCATAGTAGCAGAAATTTCTCATACACATTCATCCCTTGATGAATATTGACAAACACATCCTCAGTCCCTACATAGAATGATATAGTATTAAGGAAAAACAAATATTTCATTGAATTTATCAGCATACTATCTAAGATGTAGTAAATTTATGAGTAATTTTTACCTTTTTTCTGGCAAAAACCTAATGGATTTTTTTCCTTCCTTTATAATAAGTCCTTTCTTCTTGTGTAAAAGACACAGGGAAAAAATTTTTAGAGACTATGAGGCAAAATGGGTTTACATAACCAAAGGATCTGAGGACGGGTTTCCAAAGGATATCATTTTCAAGGATGAAACTAATATAAAAGAAGAATTTACCCATTGGAAACATGTAAGTATAGTTAGTTTATTATTTTGAGATATTTTTCCTTATGATAGTAGAGTCCTAAATTATGAAGCATTAGTAAAAATTTCTTGAATCTTAAATATCTTCCATTATATTGTTAATATTATTATTTATACTATGAGAAAATTCATATAATTAATTACTACATTATAATATACTACATTAATAACATCATCATTATTTAATAATATGTGCTTTAATATATTAATCTATTTAATTATTGAAATAATAATAGTGACATAAAACTCAGATGAAAGCAAAAAAGAAATGTTTAGGTTATTAAAGTATAGTATATTCATTTAATGTTTTATAATAAATCACAACTTGCTTTGAGGTTAAATGGAAATAGTTAGAAATTTACTTACACTAGTTGAATGCCTACTATGTACAAGGAACTGTGCTAAAAGGTCTTGTGCATGTGGTGTGCAGTTTATTATCCACAACAATGTGATATATTCTTATCTAATCTTATGAATAAAGAAACTAAAGCTCAGCAATGTCAATTGACTTTTAAAAAGTCACAGTTAAGTGATATAGCTTGCTTTTGACTACAAGTCTTTGACACCAAAGTTTGTGCTTGTCTCTCTTTAGGACTTCGTTTTGATTTGGACTTTAGGTAATGGTAGAAATGAAGACTCAACATTATAGAGGAATTAACTAGAGTAAATTTTTTTTATACTTTCCTTTTTTTTTTTTTGGTACCGGGGATTGAACCCAGGGTACTTAACCAATGAGCCATATTAACAACCCTTTTTATTTTTTATTTTGAGACAGGATCTTGATAAGTTGCTTAGGCCTCGCTAAATTGCTGAGGCTGGCTTAGAACTTGTGATCCTCCTGCGTCAGCCTCCTGAACCATGGGTATTATAGGCATGGGCCACCACACCCAGCTAATTTTTAAATTTCTAGTGTGTTTGTGATAAAGTCCTTCATACATGGACTTATTCCTGAGTAGAGGGAGATTACAAATATTTCCATTACATTACCATCATAAAAAGTGACTGCAAAATGTCCAGAATACCAATACTTTAATTTCAAATAAATAAGAACTTGTATTTTAGATGTATAGCACAGGAATGTTCATAAATCCTTAAATCTCTTAAAAGTTATCCTTTCATTAATAACACAAGTTCAAAAGGCAAATATATTTCACTAAAACCCTTTTTCACATTGGTACTCAGTGGCAATGGTATTACTTTACTCCAGTTGATAGTATACTCTGTGAAATTGTAAAGTTCATATTAAGTTTCTTATGCCCCTCCCTGTAAAATAGAAGCTCATTATTTCAGAGCATGCTACTTGATTTTTTTGCATGCTTTATACACAGGAGTGTTCTCTCCTTGAAAATATTATTGATATTTCATAACTGATTTTGAGCTATGTTTCACACAGAACACTTACATATCTGCATTCCTTGGTCTTCTGGAACGTGTTAGGAAACACTGGCAGAGTAGTCCTAGACCTTTGATAAGCATACAACTTGAAAGTAATCATTTGTTCTGTGTGTAAAGGCACTGTGTCCATGAACTGTAACAATATTCTTGCCTGAATTCAGCATGGAGAGGGTAGAAACCTACCTGATCCTCTTTAACTTAGTTCCCGTCAGTACTCAGTGTTTTTCTCTTTTTTGGTGCAACTAACTGGAAGGGGATGGCTAATTTTATATCAAGTAAACAAATGGCTCACATAAATACGTTTTTATTCTCATTTACCTCATTTTCCAGACTTCATACCCTAACCTCACTCTTTCTTATTTAAAGACAGATTTTCTGGCATTCTGATGGTCTTCATTCTATACTTCTGAAACCATACACTTATTACATATTTCCAGATATTTCTCATTTTTATTCCCCTTATCCATCAATAGAAATGAACTAAATTTGTTATAGGCTCTTTTTCTAATAAACCCTTTCCTATTACTATATTGTTTACTTCCACTATTACCCAACAATTAATTGTCCATTTAAAATCTCAGGGGTCATTTTCTTTTCCCTCTTTTTTCACAGTTCAATTTTTAAATAGTTCTAAGATTTAAATAAGTATTTCTAAAACTTAAATATATTTGATTATATACTTCCTTTGGAAATGACTAAACTAACAAACCAAATGATTTTTACCAGGAGCATGAAGATTAAACTCATAGCATACTTAACACTAGTGAAGGTATTTTTTTTGTATTGCTCATTTTTATTTCTTCCTTTGTGATTAGTCTTTGTCTGTTTCTTCATTCATTTATAAACTTTTTTTCATTGGTCTATTAATGTGGAGTTGCTATGTAGGGTTTTATTCCACTTAATTTGGAAAGGATAATTTCAGCTAAATTTGTCTTCATCGTAGGTGTCTTTTGCTATTCAGAAAATTTTAATTTTATTTTAATAAGATCAAGTCACTGAGTATGTTGGTTTCTTTATTTTACATAATGATTTTAAAAGTCCTTCCCAACCTTAGGATTAGTAAAAGATGAAGTCTTTTATTCTAACACTTTTCTGTTTTTATTTTTAATTTTAAATCCTTATTCTATTTGAAAGTTATTTTAATTTTGGATTGTGCTAAAGATAAAACTGTATATTTTTGTATACAGTAATTACATTATGCCAACATCACTTGTTCTTCCATGTATTTTAAATAATACCTTTATCACTTAAGATATTCTTATATTTAGTTGAAAACAGCATCATTTTAATATTCTAGTTTTATGATGTTAATTTTTGATAAGGCTAGTCACTTCATTATTATTGGCTACTCTTGTACTCTATACCTTCAAATAAAATTTAAATTCAATTAGTATAATAAATATTTGAATTTTAGTGGCATTATGTTTAAAAACTTCATGTAATAATAATGACAAATTGGATCATCTAAATAAGAATAACGATATATATGTACTTCCATTCACTGATTTATTCTTTGGATTTCACTATGATGTCTAGTATGATTGACATAGTGTCTGTATATATAGTATTACTACAAATGATTTTGATCTTTGTTGAGAATTTAAAATATTTTGAATTAAAATTTCAGGCTAGTTTTTTAATGAAAAAGTATATCAGCTTTTCTAATTGGTAACCTATGAATAAAATTATTTTCAGTTGATTCTGCTCTATTTTCAAAGTATGCATTAGAAAGTGAATATTTTTCTCTTCCTTTTCCAAAATCATACTTTCTTTTTAAAAAAGTTGGTTCTTTTTAGAGGTACATGACAGTAGAGTATATTTTGACATATTTTACATACATGGAATATAACTTACACTAATTAGGATCCCATTCTGGTGGTTGTACATGATGTGAAGTTTCACTGCTTGTGTATCCATACAGAAACAAAGGAAAATTAAGTCTGATTCATTCTACTGTCTTTCCTATTCCCATCCTACCTTCCTTGTCTTCATTCCCCTTTGTCTAATACAATAAACTTCTATTCTTCCCTCCCCCACACTTATTATATGTTAGCATCCATGTATCACGGAGAACATGTGGCCTTGGGTTTTTTGAAATGGGCTCATTTCACTTAGCATTTTGGTACTGAAAATCTCCGGTACCATCCGTTTACAAATAAATGTCATAGTTTTATTCTTTATGGCTAAGTAATATTTCATTGTGTGTATGTACCACATTTTCTTTATCCATTCATCTGTTGAAGGGAACTTAGGCTGGTTCCTTAGCTATTGTGAATGGAGCTACTATAAATATTGATGTGGCTGAGGCACTGTAGTATGCTGATTTTAAGTCCTTTGGGTGGAGTGGGATAACTGGCCAAGGAGTGGGATAACTGGCTCAAATGGTGGTTTCATTCCAAGTTCTCTAAGTAATATCCATACTGCTTTCCAGAGTGGTTGCAACAATTGGTAGTCCCATCAGCAATGTATGAGTGAATCTTTTCCCCTACATACTCACTAACATTTATTATTACTTGTATTCTTGATAATTGCCATTCTCATTTTCTCATGAGCATATCATGAAGTTTTTCTAGAGACTACATGATATGTGATATAAGAGATTGAGCACATATACAGATATGAAAATATCTGTCATTTATTAAGCTAGACACTAAATAGATTCTGAAAAATGTAGAATAATCCCACCACTCTTCTCATTGTTTTTGAAATGTTGTTATTTTATAAAGATGCAATTTATGTGAATATCGAATGCATTTATTATTGTTATTTAAAATAAATTAATAAATATTTAAAACATTTTATATTTTAAATTTCCAATATGATTCATATTGAAATAATAAAACACACAATGTTTTGTAGCCTTTCAACTTTTGAGAAAATAGAGGAGTCTGGTGACCAAAAAATTTGAGAACTTCTACTAAACCTCTACTCCACTAGCTACTATCTTTTTAAATGTAACTCATAACTCTATAATGATAAAGCAACAATTAAATTAGGTATAGTTTGTACAAATATATCAGTTAAAGATAATGACCTAAATGTACTTGTATATTTTTTATTTGCTGTGCCTCCTGTAACTCTGGTGTATTTATACATGGCTACATTTTACTGTACAAAAATATTCAATGTTGAATATGCTGTCTACACAAAGAAGAGTCCTTTTTCATTGGCTAGGAGACCTGTGTTTGGTGTCAGTTGCTCATGAAATGCATATGGCCATCATGCATTTAACAAGTATCTTCTATTTCTCTTAGTTAAAATACTTCACAACACATACATCTTTAAATAATTGCACCAATGTTATATTTTAAAGACAGAACTCTGTTATACATGTCATGGATATGTATCTAAAAATAACTGAAAATAAAAATGAATAGTTCTGTTAGAAATACAAAAGAAATGGGAGTGCATTGATTAGGACTGGGAATTATTACCCTGATTGGTATTGATTTACACAAAACAGATTGTTTTTCTCTCTTTTATAAAAGGAGATAAATAATGCTTACCAGTATAGCAACTATTCATCATAATGTTGTCAGAGTTCTTCACTCTTTCTGCTATTGAATCAAGATGTTGAGAAGGCTGTCCTTC